CAATACATCACCTCTTGGACTTCTTGGCCTTAGTGTTATTCCATCATGCTACTTCCTACACCAGAACCAAGATAAAGGGTAAAAGCTTCAAGCATCAAATGGAAAGGTCAAACGAAGCCAAGCCTAACACAAGAAGGAAAATGATAAAGTTTCAAACAATACAGACCACAGACAAAATTTCTTAAAGTACAAAACGAAGATTAGTCAAAGCAAAGCACATCACGAGGATCAGACAAAGCAAGTCAAATGATAGATAGAGTAAGACATGAGCGCCAGACGATGATAAATCAAATATCAGACAAAGGTGTGTCAAGGAAAACCTAGAGCGCAACATAAGAACTCAAACGAAGGTTAGTCAAAGATCAAAAGAAAGTTAACTAAATATCAGACGAAGGACAACATAGACTGAAAAGTATTCCAAACGAAAACAAAGTCTGTCCATCTACAATGTTGACCAGACCAAAGAAAATTAAAGCATTAATAAAAAATTCTCAAATAAAGATCAAGACTTGAGATGCACATGGACTATCAGACGCAGACGAAGACTGCCAAGCAAGCATTTGAAGAATCAAGTCTCAAGGGACAATTCAGGCATCGTCTACAATCATACAAAAGCTCTCAACATGATCGCGCGATGAAATAAAGAAAATAAAAAGAAGAAATACAAGCGCAAAAGTAAAAGCATGCATGTGTCAAAAAAAGTACATAAATTTTTCAGATAAAGATAATGCCTCTACAGCTACGCGACCGAAAAAGGACAAAAAATTCCTAGGTCTCAACTAAAGTCAGACACTATTGCTAACAAAACGAAGAAGACTTCACGCAATGTCTATAAGCAGGAAGCAACATTTAATGCAAGATCTTGTGCATTAAATGAAAGATCAAACTAGTCATGAACGACTGCATCCTATGTCAACAAACACTTGTAACATGCAAATTTTACAAGACTATATATATGTCATGACTTCAAAGCTGGAAAGGTTGGCGAAGAGTGATATCAAGCCCAAGGAGCAACGAAACTAGAGACAGAGCATACATAGTCAAATGTACAAATTGTACTGTATTTATCTTTGTAGACTAAGTAGTTATAAGTGTAACTTAGGAACATGCACCTTAGTGAGTGTAACAAATCTTTGTATCCTCTCTGTGAGAGTAACCCACACACTCAAAACAAACTATCTATCATTTGTAAAGCCTGAAGAGGCTAGGAAAAGAATACTTGTAAAAGCCTGGAAAGGCTTGTCAAAGAATACTCACTACGAGCCTGAAGAGGCTGAACAAAGAATACTAGCGCTAATGAGTGAAGTTAGCGGGTCAGGAGTGGTCGATAATCCTCACTAAGAGCCTGAAGAAGCTGAACAAAGAATACTGGAGCTAATGAGTGAATTTAGCCAACCAGGAGTAGTTGATAATACTCGGGACCAGGAGTGGTCGAGAATACTCACTGCAAGCCTAAAGAGGCTGAACAAAGAATACTAGTGCTAATGAGTGAAGTTATCCAACCAGGAGTGGTTGATAATGTTAAGTCAGACGAAGAAACTCCCAACAAGGTTTTGAGTGAGACAAATATAATACATGTTGTTATCTCTAACAAGTGTGTTAGTATCTTAGAAAAATATAAGAACAAGTAAAATGAAGAACAAGCATATGCATCAGACAATACAAGACGACAGACAAAAGGCCAACACAAGCATCCAACAAGCCAAATCAAGAACAAGACAAAATTGTGTCAAGCATAACCTAAAACACAACATAAAGACGTAGATGAAGAACAATACAAACTGATAAGTATATTGGACAAAAATGAAAGTCTAACCATATACAAATTGATCAGACAAAAAGAAAAGTCAATGTGTTAATGACAAATGCTCAGACAAAGGTCAAGGCTTGCGCTACATATAGACTACCAGACGCAAACGAAAGCTGTCATACAATCACTTGAAGAATCAAGCTTCAAAGGACAATTTGAATATCGTCCTCACTCATAGGAGAACACACGAAGTCAACGAAATTATGAGAAGAAAAGAAGAAAGGAGAAAATCAAGCGCAAAACTAAAAGCATGCATGTGTCAGAAAAAGTACACTACTTTTTTAGACAAGGACAAAATTCCACAGCTATGTGACCTGAAAAGGACAAAAAGGTTCCTATGTCTCTTCTAAATTTAGACACTGCTGCTACCAAGACAAAACATACTTCACGCAAGGTCTATCATAGGAAGCAACATTTAATGCAAGAATCTGAGCATTAAATGAGAAGATCAAACCAACTACAACTACTTCAACGGACACTTGCAACGGGCAGATTTCACAAGACTATATATAGGTCTCAACATTAAACCTTAAAAGGTTGGTTGTTTGGCCCGAAATGGTTCAAGCGAGAAAAAAAGTGGTATCCAGCCCATGTTGCAACGAAGTTAGAGATAGAGTGTATACAGCCAAATATGCCATAATGTATTCATCTCTAAAAACTAAGGAGTTCCAAACATGTGTATCATAGGAACAAAACCTTAGTGAGGGTGCCAACTTATGTATCCTCTCCATGAGAGTAAACCAAACACTCAATCATTGTAAAGACTAAGGTTACATACCTTAGTGAGTGTACAAAGCTATGTATCCTCTCTATGAGAGTAAACCATACACTCAAACCAAACTTGTCTAGCTAATATTGTAAAGCCTGAAGAGGCTAGGGAAAGAATACTTGTAAAGCCCGGAGGGGCTTGTCAAAGAATACTCATTACAAGCCTGAAGAGGCTGATTAAAGAATACTAGCACTGGTGAGCGAAGCTGGCAGGCCAAGAGTGGTCGAGAATACTTGGACCAGGAGTGGTTCTGACCTGGGTGGTCCATAATACTCAATGCTAGCCTAAAGAGCCTGATAAGAAGATACTAGCGTTGATTAGTGAAGTCAACGGGCCAGAAGTGGTCAACAATACTTTTGTACTTTATTGAATATCTAGTGGAACCCTTCAATTAAAGAAGACTGGACGTAGCTTAACTTGAGTGAACCAATATAAAAATGTGTTCTGCATTTTTTTTAAATGATTTAGACGCACATTATTTAGTTGGTTTTAAAATATCGAAAACTTTGTCCAATGCCTATTGTCCATTAAAACTATATTCAGACGAAAACCACATGTTTTTAATTTATCATTCAATAGAACAATTTTTCTCATCAGAAATGTTTTCTCTGAGCAGACGATGAAATTCCCAAACGTGTTAAACTTATCCTAGGTAGTTCATACCTAATATTCACCAACATCATTTTATAGGATGAAAGAAAGTCTTCTTGAAAAAAGTTTTTAAAATGCCCTTGTTCACACACACACATATTTATCCCCCCTTCTATGTATTTTCCTTCTAACTTCAGATAATATTCAGGACCAGGAGTGGTCGAGAATACTCATTGAGAGCCTGAAGAGGCTGAACAAAGAATACTGAAGCGAATGAGTGAAGTTAGCCAATCAGGAGTGGTTGATAATACTTGGGACCAGGAGTGGTCGAGAATACTCACTACGAGCCTGAAGAGGTTGAACAAAGAATACTAGTGTTGACGAGTGTTGGCAGGCTACAAGTGGTCGACAATACTCAGAAAACCAGAAGTGGTGATAATACTTGTACTTAATTGAAAATCTAGTGGAACCCTTCAATTGAAGGAGACTGGACGTAGCTCAGGTTGAGCGAACCAATATAAAAATCTTTGCACTATTTTTCTATGTTTTAGATGCAGTTTCATTTTGTCAATATATCATACTGAAAATTTCGTCCAATGCTTATTGTTCACTACAACTATTTTCAAACAAAAAATACATTTTTTTAATTTATTATCTTAAGAAACAGTTTTCGTTTAAGAAACATTTTCCTTGTGCAGACGATAAACTCTCAGATGCAAAAATCTTTTTTTGATCCAATCCTGCACAGTTTCTGTTAAGCATTCAAATAGTATTTTTATTGGATGAAAAATGATCTCTTTGCGAAAATGATGTCAAAAATTCTTCGTTCACACACACACATATTCAACCCCCCCATTCTATGTGTCTTTCGTATAACTTCATATTAGAATCTAATTTCATTTCAATTTGCCATGGATTTAGGTTGAACTTATCTTGGGAACAATCACAAGGAAGGAGAATAGTAATGGGTGAGTTTTGAGAAGATATGCTCATGAACTCTAATAGCAAAGCCATTGATTTATGCAAAGGCCAAACTTACTTTTAATTCTTTTTGTAATTTAATTTATTCGAAGTAAAACTTTCGTTTTGCATTTTGGTTTGAAAAAAAAATTTAAAATTACTATATAATTAGATAACAATGGTTAAGTAAAATAAGATGAATAAAATATGCACTCTGTTAGTCATGTTGGAATTTTTTAGCAGGAGTGTGTTGAGATTCATGGATGGTGAATCAAGTTCTGAGATTTTTGATGATAACAAAGGGATATGAACCAAAGAGAAGACATGAAGACCATGAATGAATACCAAATGTAATAGGAGTAGTTTGTGTGTTCTTATGTGTTGAGTTGCTTTGTTGGTCAATTTTATTTTCTATGCATGTTTATGCTTTGTGCATGAGTTGAATCTAAATTCTAAATTGTCTAAGAGTGAGTATGATGATGATAATGATAAGTAAAAGGTTTTGAATGTTTGAAATCGAATTTTGAAGAACTAACTCAAAATAATGAATTATTACTAAACATAATCGATTATCTCAGCTTTTGTTTTTCAAGAGGTTGAGAAACCTTGTTGTAATAATCAATTATTTATAAAATAATCGATTATTCTAGAAAATACTCTTTAGAATAATTGATTATCCGACAAAATAATCGACTATTCTATTCTTTAAGAATATTCACAAAACTACTTTAAACTAAATATTTTAAATAACTAAATTAAATTAAACTAAAATAAACTAAACTATTTTTTAATAATTTAAACCAAATTATTATTTTTAGTGCAGTTTATAAAACTAAATTATTAAAATTAATAGTTGAGTTCACAAAACAAACTAAATACAAGCACAACGTTTTGGACTCGCGGTGGGAACGTTTTGGACTCGCGGTGGGGACGTGAGCTGGTCTTCCGATTCTGCTTCAATCTTCACTTTTCAACTCTTTGTTGTGTCACGGACTCATGGTGGTTCTTCTGATTCTTCTTCATTCTTTACTCTTTGTTACATTGCGGACTCGTGTCGTGGGTGGGTCTTTCGATTCTTCTTCATTCTTCACCCTTGGTTGTGTCTCAGACTCGCAGGTGGGTCCTCTGATTCCTCTTCACTTTTCACTTTTAATGGGTTATTTTGTTTTGATTGAACAATTGGAAGTTTCTATTTTAGTTTGGTTTGCTCTGCATAGGTAAAGGAAACATTTTTGTTGCTTGCACTCCATGTGTTTGATAATTTGCAGGCAACTTGCTACACTTCAAAATTCCCTGCAAGTAATTTCCCATCAACAATAGCTAACTTCGTTTGTGCTTGCACATATGTAATTAGCTTCATAAAATGTGAAGCCTGAAAAATAAAACAAATTCATGCCCTTAGTTTGGGATTTTTAAGTCATTTCCTATTTAAATGGGCTACTGGTTTAACAACCAAGGTATGACATAAATTTTTGTGTACTCAATATTGTAGTTAATGATGCTAATGCCTATATATTGAGATGTAGAACTCATGAGGTCAGTTCTTCCCATATCTGAATTATCTAGATAAACAGTATAATAGATAAGGATAGATCCTAGTAGTTTAGTGATCCCCTCCTCTCTTGCAATCCTGCTTGTACCTAACACTGTCTTGTTGTGTGCCTGTGTTGTGACGTATAAGATCTTTCTCAGCTAAAAGCAAGGTTTGTTTGTAGCAACAGCTGCATAAGTGCATCATTTCTGCAAACTTATCCAAACCAGCAGGCACATGTACCCTCCAAAGTTCAACTTATGTTCATAAGAGCTTGCCACCAATATCCAAGTCAGTAAAAGATAAACGCAGAAGGCGTAGAGTAAGATGTAAAAAATGCTCCATGGTGGATATTTTAGCTGTGGCATGGCATAGTACTTTAGAGGAGATCCATAGGATTAACCAGTTTTGTTATGTTGAAGCTGTGATTGAAAGGTGTCATCAAACAGTGCCTTATGAAAATATTTCAAAGTCTGAGTTAGTGAGTGAGGATTCATTTAGAAAAGCAGGAAGTGAAGATGATGGTGTAGCTAATGTTAATATGGCAGCAAAGGGGTCATTGCTTCTCAAGTTCAAGCTCAATGGATATGTAATGTAAATAGGAATTGCGGAACATAAATCCATTCCTTTCACTTTTTTTTTGTTATTATTCTTATCTTCATTCTAGAATTTCCTTTTACATTGTCATAAAGAGGCACAAAGGATTGATACACATATATCTACTTTGGTGGGTAGGTCTCATTGCATGCTTCTATTCCATTATTGTGCCCCATTCCACCTCCAAATATTATTATCCAACCTTAATTTAAGTACAATATGCTATGATATCTGTAACTTCAGAAAATTTCTTCCTAATTAAGCTTCAAGGTTTGGATTCACATTCTCCTGCACTATACAACAAATGATAAAATCTTCTCACATGAAGGAATCTTGCATGCACAAAATGCATGGAGGAACAAAAGAAAAGTTCTGAAAATGAGCCAAATAACTTCAGATGGGGATAACTTGTGATCTCTGGATTAAATTTTGTGCACTTTGTATTAATGCTTGAAAAAATATGAAATCTAATTTTTCATGGCAGAGCATATAAATCTCATCTCATAATTAATTATACAACTAATTAAATTTGAAACCTTCCACAAAGAGCGACCAGATGTTACTAGTAAAAAGCAGTATTTCTACTAATTACTCCCTTCTAATTTTTCATGGCTTATGCATTGTATGATATTTTTTGCATACACTTATTTTGACGAACTTTTTATGGAACAAGCTTTTAGAAGAATTTGTCTATAACAGCTTTTGATAAATATGCACAGTACCAACCTCATCCATATATGTCTAATAGGCATTATGCATTTTAGTAGGTTAAGTTAATGACTTTATCTCTTATTGCTTGTAGCTGCTATTGGGGAATATATTTCTTGAGGAGCATCATCAGTTGTTTTGTCAAATGCGATATTTGATAAAGAGGCAATTGCACAACATAATTTCAGCAAGGTGTATAAACTTGCACATTCTACTACCTTGTTGGCTGACAAAGCTATGAATAGGTAACATTTGTTCTTGTTTTAATCTTTAATGGTTGTTGATTTCTTCTAGATCTAGACAGAATGGTTGTTTGATGTGGTTGTTGCATTTGTTTTGAATCATTTCGTTAGAATTTGTTAGAGCAATTAATCAACAAGAAATACTAGAGATGTAGCATTCTATCTGTAATTTTTAGGGTAAATTTTATAGTATAAATCAAGTATTTCAAGTAAAAGGAACTTTTTATATTTGATTTTATTATGAAAAATGAAAGTTCTTATTTATTTATTTATTGGTTTGACAGTTGTAAGGGAGAAAAAAATTAAATGGAACCTTCTTTACCAGAGATGGAACCAGATGCCTCTACCACTAATGCTACATTACCACCTCATTCAAGCACATAATTAAGGCGTACTCGACCATTGGTATGGGAACATTTCACTAAAAATCCTGATGAAGACCATAAGGCAAATTGCAATTATTGTGGTATCCTAATTAAGTACTTGACTGGAACTAGTGCTATGAAGACACATTTAATGAGATGTGATGAAGGTCCAAATAAAAGACTTAAAAGGCAAAGATCAAATTCTTCTTCATCACAAACTGTAGAAGGGCAAGTGAGTGGTGGTGTTCGCTCTTCACCAAGTTATTTTAAATTTGACCATAAACATGCCAAAAGGAGCTTGTGAAGATGTTTGTGGTTGCTGAGTTGCCAATCCGATTTGTGGAGAATGAATCATTTATCAAGTTTTTAAGTGTGTTGCAACCACGATTTAGTGTCCCATCACGCTCTACATTAACCCGTCATATTTTTATACTCTTTAATGAGGAGAGAGAAAATTTGAAGAAATTTCTTTCTATGCATTGTGGGATAGTTTGTCTTACAACAGACACATGGACATCAATCCAGAACTTGACTTATATGAGTTTGACTGCACACTTTGTTGATAATAATTGGAAGTTGCAAAAGAAAATTTTGAACTTTCGCCAAATCATGGGACATTCAGGAGAGATTATGACAAAAAATGTTGAGATATGCTTGAATGAATGGGAGTTGAATCGGGTTTTTAGTTAAACTGTGGACAATGCTTCATCTAATGACCTTGGGATTCAATACCTGAAAAAGAGGTTAATGTCTTGGCAAAGTGTACTTTTGAAGGGGAAGTATATTCATATGTGTTGTTGTGCGCATATTTTGTGTTTAATTGTGAAGGATGACCTTAAAGAGGTAGATGACTCCATTTTAAGAATTCATGGTGCAGTCAAGTACATTAGATCATCACCATCTAGATTGGCTAGATTCAAGGCTTGTGCTGAACAAGAGAAAATTACCTATAAAGGCCTTGTTTGTCTAGATGTTGAAACTAGGCGGATTCAACTTACTTAATGTTGGAGGCAGCTCTCAAGTATAAAAAAGCATTTGACTTACTTGAAATGCAAGATAATAAATATGTTGAGGATCTACATAAAGGGAAAGGTGTACCATTAGAATCTGATTGGGATGATGCTCATTTGCTCTTGCCTTTCTTGAAGATGTTTTATGATGCAACGATATGTATTTCTGGTTCTTATCATGTCACTAGTAATATATATATATGAAGGAAGTATTTGCAATTGGAAGGAAGATTCGCAAGTGTCAAGAGAATAATGATATTTTCATAAGGTCAATAGCTACTCGAATGAGAATTAAATATGACAAATATTGGGGAAGACCTAATGGAATTAACATTTTGTTACTTATTGTTCTTGTCCTTGATCCTAGGTGTAAATTGGAATATGTTAACCATTTCATTGACTATTTATTTGATGATGATCAGGCAAATGGATTAAAGTTAAAGTTGTCTTCTAGTTTAAGATCACTTTATGAGCAGTACCAAGGTATTGAAGGGGGTTCTCAAAGTAATCACCAAGTAGTACAATTAGATGATGATGATGATGATATCCATGGTATAGTTTTTATTTACAAACAACTGGGCGTAGATTTGATGCAAAATCTGAATTGGACAAGTATCTAAAAGAAGATTGTGAGCCTTTCATCAAGTCAGTTGAATTTGATATTTTAAATTGGTGGAAAGTAAACTCAACTAGATTTCCAATCCTTGGAAGTATAGCTCGAGAAGTGTTAGTCATTCCCGTTTCTACAGTAGCATCAGAATCTTCATTTAGTACTAGAGGAAGGGTTCTTGATCCTTATCGAAGTTCTCTTACTCCTAGAATGGTGGAAGCACTAGTTTGCACGCAAGATTGGTTGAAAGGATCATCTTTTTTGATATTTACTAATGAGGACTTTGAAGAGCTTGAGAAATTAGAACATGGTAAGTTAATATGAATGTTTTACATATTTTTATTATCTTTTTACAATAACTTTTCAAAATTATGAAATATGTTTATCTTTTTTTTTTTTGCAAGAGATATTGTCTCCACAAGAAGGGATTTCATTGACCGCAATTAATCTTGATAATTAACATTACGCGAATGATTTCATTGCACAAATATTTAATATCTATATAATGAAAATTCTATAGTGCTTTATTTATTTAGCAAGTTAAATCTATATTGCATATTAATATGATAATTTTTTTTAGGTTACAAACTATTTCAATATCAAGAAGCCTTGGACTGTACATGCAAGATTGTAACCGACATGATCAAATCTAGAGGAAATTTGGAAGATTAATATTTGATTGATTTTCAAAAAATATGAATGAAAGATCTATAATGTGGACTTTTATCAATGTTATACTTGTTTTACATTTCAAACTATTTTAAATTTAATTCATAATTAATATCAATGATTTGGTAGCTAAATTTAAAAATGATGATTTTAAATTTTTTTTTTTTAAATTTAGTTCAATTTAGTTTATAGTTAATAATATTTTAATTTAGTCGATATTGTAGTTTAGTTCAAACTCCTAGAACTATAGTGCACTAAACTAGATAATAGTTTAGTTTAGTTTAATTCAGTTTGGTGAACTATTTATTATAGTTTAGTTTAGTTTTCTTCTATTTTAGTTCAATTTAGCAATTTGAACACCCCTACTATTCTTGAGTGATTTCCAGAATTCATGAAGAACAAAATAATCGATTATCTAGGTTTAAAAACTTTATAAAAATAGTTCTCACATTTAGAAACAGAGAGAGAAGAAACCAAGTAATATTTTGAAGTCTTAGTGATAAACTTTTGATCTTTGTGATCTTGTTGGAGTGTTTTCTTTGTGAAACCAAGAAGTAAAACATTCTGTGAAATGCTTTGAGAGGAATCATCATCATCACTACATTCTTGGATAGAGGAATTAAGATTGGTCAAGAATTCACAGTCTGATTTGTTCAGTTTTCAGGTAAATTTGTTCCTTTAATCTTTTTGTGTATTATGGTAAAAATCTCGAGTAAGTTACTCAAGTGGTAAGGAATTCTTGTAGTGTGTTTCTACAAGAAGTACTTTCTTGGATGCAAGAAAGGGTATATCTTGTATGTTGAAGTATGTGCATATGTGGTATGCTTGTAAAACTTCTTCATTAAGATAGTAAAACAAATCTTGATCAAGTTATGATTAAGGACTGAATGTAAGTCACATGTGGAGTGGCTGAACTAGGATAAAACACTTTGCACTCTTCTCTCATCCTTATCTCTTACATTGAACAATCTTTAATTGAATGTTAAAATGGTTGGTCTTGATTAATATGCTTGTATGATTAAAAATGGTTTAAACTGAAACATAAGCACTGCATATTAATTGTTCTTAAACTGAATTCAATAAAGATTAATCAAGAAATCATATAGGAATTATTCTCATATACTAAGAGGTTCAATATACTTCATTGGAAATTAATTTTAGAAAAGATTTTTTTAAAGAAATCAAGATCCTTAAACTTTGAAAATTTTTAAATGTCATTGAATCCAATTCACCTCCCTCTTGGATTGAGCCATTCTTCTCTATCAGAGTGGACTATTTTTTAAACGTTAGAAAATGCCAGATATAAAACAATGGAAAAAAATTACAGGTCAAAAAATGACAAAAAAAAATTATATTTAAACCCTCCTTAAATTATTCGTTTGAACATGATCACAAAGAGCTGTCACCTACTAGTAAAAGTTGAGTCACATACATAGATAAAAGTATACTTACATAAAAGTCAACCTCATGGTTATTTATTTTCTATAAAATTGAAGTTAGTAATTTTATTATGCAATAATACTTATCAATACACCTCAAAATTAGTAATCCCAATCCACTACTTTGGCCCCAATACAATTCTATTACTAAATATTACAAAACCAAAGCCTAAGCAACATCCTACACTTTGGGCTGAAACTTTTCTTTCTGAAACCACTTAGTTTTATGTATCCTTATGATATCTTGTTGTTTGGCATTTATGATTGATCTGATCATATTTGAGATTGAGAGAATGGTACATTATTCTTCAGAAAAGAGTTCTTATTTTAAATCTACATTGTCTCAGTCCTGTTTCTATCACTATTACTACTATTTCTTTCAAAATTGTGATAGGCTTGTTTAGTCCTTAAGAAAAGCAAGAAGCTTGAAGCCAATCCCACCATTGAGATGCAGCTCCACCATATAAAGGTTTGCAGGTAGCACTTCCTTCCCATGCACATGGACATTTCTTGCAGCCAAATTGCATGGCTTGAGTTCATTGTTCCATTGGAATCATAAACCAAGGCTGCAAGAAGGCCATAGAGGCATGAACCTAGAGGAATGTTGGTGATGAGGATGTTGTGGTTCAAACCAACACTGTTTGCACCAAATAGCTCTGAAGTAATAGACACTGCTGCAGAAAACACAAAGCCTGAACTCAGACCAATCAAGCCAGTGCCTATGTGCAGTGCTGGCTCACTGCCAGATATGGACAGTAAAATGAATGCAATTGGTGTTGGCACCAGGGCTACTGCAAACCATCCTGTTCTTGCAAAGTGTATCCTCCTACATTGTCATACAACATTAGTAGATTAATAGTTTTGTAAATGGAAAAAGTACTAATAGCATGTTTGATTTTGTGCCTTGTGATCTGCTTAAGTCTGTTTGGATAAATTTTTTCATTAGTTAAAATTAACTTATTTAAAGATATAAGTTTATCTAAAAGATTCTAAATAGATATAAGTCTATATTTAAAGTAACAAAGAGTTGCATTTAACCAATGCGTCACGAGCAAACTACATAAATGAACTTGATACCACATTTTAATTTCAAACCTTGAAATATTAGTTTTATGAGTCTTTTTAATTATATGTTATATACTACTCAACATATTTAATTCTATCCAATGCGATTTCATTCACACGTGTATGCCAATGTGGACATATGCTAATTATATAGATTTTTTTTTTCCAAAACTGACTGTTCGATTTGAGAAAACATTTTTCTTGTTTTTACTTTGTTTCCTGTTTTCTGAAGTTTATACAGGAAATATTGAAAATAAAAAATGAAAGCAGAAAGCAAGAACAACTTGTTTTCGCTATTTATTGTACAGATTGTTAGAAATAGGAAATAAAGTGAAAATAAAAAAGAAATTAAAAAATGTTTTTTCAAACCAAACAATGAGTGACATGCTTTATTAACTATTGAATAAACCACATTATGTCATGTATAAATCAGCCAAGTTGAATTCATGGTCTATTTGAGTAAACTTCTTTATAAGCACTTATCGACGAAAAAACAGAAAAAAAAAATGAAATGACTTTTTCATTAATTAAAACTAGTTTATGCACAAGTTATAAATAAGTTTTTGGAGAAACTAATTTGAGAGAACTTTTACTAATTGGCTTATACAAAAAGCTAAGTTTAGCTTATGAAGATGTTTGTTTCATTTTTTTTCTTCCTAGAAGTGCTTACGGATAAGTTTATCAAAATTGTAGCTAATTTCATCACTACCTACCAAGACCTTTAAAACTTTAAAAGTACCTGCTTAAGAAGTCGGGTGCAGCTGCAAGAAGGCGACCAAAGAAGGAACATGTAGAGTAGAGTGTGACAAGAGAAGAAGTCTGAGAATACTGTCCTAGTGATTGTGAAATTTGCCCCAAGTTGTTGCTATAAACCAATCCAATAGTTCCTCCACAAAAATAGGCAATGTAGTACAGCCAAAAGTCCCACCTACTTATTAGCAACTTAGTTGAATGCTCTTCCCCCAGCATTGTAATCTGCTCTCTCTCTAATACATTCACAAGACAACATTCCTTTTCTTCTGTGCTTTGTGCACTTTGACTCCTCGCCCTGTCCTCAATGCCGATAAGCTCTTTGTAAAGCTCATTGTCATCGGGGTCAGCGCGAGGGAATCTTGAATAGAAGGAAAACCTCATGAGGACAGCAAAGCAAGACCATTCTCTAGACTTCAAAATGGCAGGCAAGAATGAGAACAAAACAAGGAGAAAAATGGCACCTACAAGGATGGCACGAGCAATGGCTGTGGAAGAAGAGAAGGAATATGAGATGAGGAGGTAGAGGCCTGTGACAAGGGCAAGGATGTTGAGGCAAAGAAAAAATGATGAATCGCGCCAAATGGTGTCTGCAGAATGAGGTTGAGGCTGTGGTTGATGGAGAATTGGGATGAGAACTAGGCCAGAAATTAGTAGAGGAACAATGGCATTGAGTAATAGATAGAGGGTATCATCATTTGAGTTTATTGCATTGGCAATGAGAGTGTACAAAGCTGCACTTAAACCATTGAAACCAATGCCCAAAGATAGTGCAAGGGAACGGTTTGCAGGAAAGTGCTTGATGCATAAGACATAGCAGATGGTGTTGAACCAGCAGATGCTGCAACCAGCAATGAGGCATAGGAAAAAGACCTGTTTCAATGTGCACAAATGTTGTTTTGTTAGTAGCAATAACAATAATTTGGAATAGTTTTTGGAAATGATAATTATGAAATTGTTTACCAAAGTCCCTAAAAGTTTAATCACACAAATTTGAATATTTCTAACTTATATTCAAATAAGCTCTATAACTAATACTTTTGGTGGATGTGGCTGTTCTTTTCTACATATATCTCTGAACACATTTGAAAGACTTAGAATGATTTTATTATAACCACTTATGATTTGAATGATAGTGAAATCTCTCTCCTATTTCTCTTTTAAGGAGAATTTGTTTTGCATCTCTTCCCCTTTTCTGCATAAAGGAAAACAGTAGAATGTATGATTCAGTGTTTTGTTTGAAATCAATTCATGTTCTTTTGGGGTTAACTGTATTTACTCCGTAGAGCATCTCTATGATGCAACTAAGGTAGAATTACTTAACTCACTTGTGATGGATCCTACGATGCTACCTGAGATTTAAGAATTTTAATAAGTTTTCACTTCAATGTTGGAATGCAACTTAAAATGGATCCTACAATTGGCTCACAATTTTTAAGTACTATTAAGAACACATTTTCTATACATCCAATGATTCTTATATAAAAATTGCTACATGCTCAACTCTTGTTGCCCTTTGCATCCTAGACTTAGGCATATTGCAAATATGTAATATGATTTTGACTTGACCTATACTCAAATCTTCACACCCAATCGCCTAACCCCACTTGATGGGAAAGGGTAAGTGAACCAGAATGTTGAAAAAGAAGTTCAAATCAAAGAATGCTTTAAGGTACATATAAGATAACCCCAATGCATAAATGATGTGTTAGTTGGCTTGAATCTTAAAACTGAATTAAAACAAATTTGGATCTGCCTAAAGTTGGTCAGCTAATAATCTTAACCAATTTGCAGCTATAAGAACAACTTCCACCAACAATGTTACTTGAGAAAAGGGCAATTTTGGTAGGCACAATTTTATTTTAGTTGATACTTTTATTAGTGGAAAATATTGGTGTCATGTCAACACCCAGCTAAACCTGATACTTCAAAGTGATGAAAGATAGGAATACTCTTCAAGATCAATGTTATAATATTTTAAGGCTTAAATATCTTTTAAAACTCAAGCATAAATTAGAAAATTTCTTGATCTGAATCAATACCTTATAAAACAAGATGATTTGTACATATTGGTGTGATTGTTTTAAAAATATTTTTCAAAAAACTCTTAATTCCCCTATTTTTAAATTTTTCGACTAAATATACATAATATGTTAGCAAAAAATACATAATATCTAAATTTATACGTTTGTGTAAATCTTTGATGGGTCTTGTCATAATTACAAGTTGCAACCATAAGTTGGGTCATAAATAATTAGGCCAAAAATATATTAAAAAAATATTCGAATTCAAATATCTAATTAGAATCTGACCAAATATAAAGTGGTTGTAACTTGACCTATAAATGCTTCTATCTAAAAGCAATATAATAAAAGCAGTTAATCAACAAGTTTATTTAATTTCTTATTTATTCGGATTTTGTGAATTGGGCACCGTTATCTATATACACATCAGCACATAGATTAAAATATACGGTATAGAGATATCGTATTTTATTTTATTTTTTTCATTCTTTTTGCAGTGATATTCTAACTCTGTTATGACCTTTTATTATATTTTATTTTTACAAAGAATAAAACGTTTTCTTTTTAATTTCTTACGATAGAGATTTGTTACAATAATTTAAACAGCAGACAATCCAAATCCTAATAATTTTTGGATTAGTTCAACTACTACTTAAAGATGAAGTTATGTGTTTAATTGCTAAAAATAAGAAAAGAGAAGAAAGAAGTTGCTATTATGCACAAGGATTTAGGGGAAGTTATGTGAAAGATGATCTAGTAATAATTTATTTCTCTAAAATATGACCCAAGATAAATAAAATCTAATAATTTATTTCAATAATTATGATCGTGGGTCCATCACTTCCACTTTGGTCCATTTGCTTTAAATTAAATTAATAATACTGTCATAAAGATAACAAGATGTAAGAGTTTGAAGCATCTGTGATTGTGCACTATCACCTACATGTGAATTTATCTTAGACACATAAGATGAAGACAAAGATAAATGTAACAAACAACAGTAGTTAAAATTACGAGACCCACATTTGTTTTAAAGTACACGTTGAATTATATTGACACATGCGGTTAGAAGTGTTGTCGTGTGGCTTCAAGAGGTTCACTTATTTGAGTTATTGCTTTTCATACCACTAGTTTTTTTTTTTTTTTTTTT